CCCCCCCCCCCCCCCCCCCCCCCCCCCCCCCCCCGCGACCTGGCTGCTGCATGGCTCTATTTGTTTGGCTTCTCCTTTTTATACTTTTGAGATTTTTAATCAAATACCTTTTTTTCAAATACAGTGTCTGAGGAATACGACCGACCTCCTTCTCGAAAAGTGCGGAATGCTAGCTGGTGAGCAGCATCAGGTGTGAGGGATGAGGTGTGTAGGTGCGTGTTTATGGCGGCGGCGCGTGGATTGTGCAGCAGAAGCAGCAGCAGCAAGCAGGGTCCATGCATGCGCCCGCGCCCGCGCCCACGCCCGCGCATGACGCCATAGATGGATGACAGCTCTAAATTCTGATTCCCTTCTCGAGTTGTGAGCGCGCGCGCAGAGACGAATCGATGCCGCTGCTGCGTGATGATGCGCGGCATATATGCGTGATTTGATTGAATGAATCAGAATTAATCACGCGTACGTACGACAGATGCTCGGAAGCGCGCGCGCGCTCTGCGTGACTTGATTGCTTCTCTCACCCTCACCCTTCGCCATTCGCGATTGGACCCAGCGCCCGACCTCTTGACTCGAGTCTTGATTGAGCATCAGCAGGCATAGCTATAGGCGATCGAGTGACCTTCTGCATGGGGATTCGCGCAGGCCGGGCCTCTTATGTGAAGCTAGCTAGGATGCCCAGCATCGAGCTCATGCAAGTGAGGTGATTCAAGGTGGAGCATTGCAAGCACATCACGAGCACACGAGCACACGCGCGGGCACTCAACTCAAGCCACACCGCGGGACCCGAGGTAAACATCATCACCACCATCAGCTGCTGCTGCTGCTGCTGTATATACGCGGGCGACTGTCTCACCCTACACAGCGCTGCTAGGAGTCGTGACTCGCACGCTGATGGATGCTCTTTGGCTTCTGCAGCATCAGCTAGGTAGGTCAGGGTGCATGCATGCATGCTGGTCAGCGCAGCTGAATGCTCGTCGGCCAGCTCGGGCTTGCGTACAAACTTGTTTGAATCAAGTCACACGTACGCGACGACCGCTTCAGCATCGGGCAACCCCTAGCTGCACCTTTTGCCCCTGCAACGCTCTGCCACCTTTCAACACTTTGGGCACGCTTGCACAGCACAGCACAGCTCCACTAGGCTGCGTGCCGGACTCCCGAAAAAGGCTTTCCTGAATTGAACCTTCTCCACACCAGATGGGTTTCAAGCTGGTTGGGAAAGGCGCACACCATACGCGCGCCGACGAGTAAACGGCACCGATCATGTCTAGCGAGCAAGAAGAGGAGGAGGAGCATTGGCCCGAGCTCTCATCCGAAAACTTGGTCAGAGCCGATCGACGCTCATCCAACAAGTCGCCCGTCCATCAGCTTAGTCCCAAAGCGAGCAGAGCTGGTGCAAGCACAAGCACAAGCACAAGCGGAGCAGCAGCAGCAGCAGCAGCAGCCGTTGGACAATCAGCAAAGAATAGCGGGACGACGACGACGACGGCATCGACCGATGATGCATCCAGGGTCAAAATCGCGACTCGATCACAGCAAGCTGCACTGCGCACCGCAGCGTATGCCAATGCACAGGCCAGGTACTCGCATTCGCCCTCCAACAGCTTCGCTTCATCGCCATTGCCTCCCGGCATGCTGGCCATGTCCGCTTCTACAACGCCTCAAGTAGCTGCGGCAGACGCATCGGTTGCACCAACACACGCGAGCTCGTATGGCGCATACGCCCCATTCGCCGCTCACACCATGCCGGGACCGCGGCACATCATGCCGTCTGGCACGCCCGCTTATCCCAGGGTCTCGCAGCAATCCCTGTCATCCGCCTTTCAGTACGGCGCTCAAACGCACCAAGGAGCACCCGCTTGGCAGGCTCATCATGGCATGAATGGTGCGATGCAATACCCCAATGCTCCACCTCATCAGATGGTCTCCATGACGGGTCTTCCGCAGTGGCAGCTCGCGGTACAACAGCAGCTTGCGCTCGCTTCCATGCAGCAACAGATGGCTCAGTGGGTGGCCGTCTCTCAACCTCAGCCTTCGCTTGCGCATCAGATGCAGCAAGCTTCTCACCAGATTGCACCGCCTCGGCCGGCCGCCCCTCCACTGCCTGCTGTCCCTTCAGCACCCAGGCAAACTTACTACGCGCAACCCGTCCGGCAGACAGTGTCCACATCTCGACCTCCTGGACTGCTTCCTCCGGCCCGCGCGCCGTCATCTCTGGCCGTCAAATCTCCGGGGCCTCCTCCTCCACCACTTCCGCCTCCTCCTCCTCCGCCCCCAATCGGTGCAAAGACGACTCTGAAACAGTGCACCTTGCCCGAAGAGTATTCAAAGGTCTTGCAAAAGTCTGTTGCGGCGACGGCGACGACGACGACGACGACGACGACGACAAGCCCGAGATCGAACGCTTCTGTGAGCGCTGGTAATCCGAGCGCCAACTCTTCGCCGGAGGAGAAACACCTGCTTCTCTCGCCTGGCACGAGCGTGGCCGAAGGTCATGGAGCGCTAGGTCCGCAAAGTCTACCCCACGCTAGACGGAGCAGAGAAACGACGCAGAGCGATAGTACCAACCTGGAGGCAAAGCAGGACGAAAAGGAACGCTTCTTCACACCGAGACTCGCGAATGCGAGGAGCAGTCTGAGTGGCGAGCTGGACACACCTTCATCTTCCAGAGTGTCTCGATATGCTCAGCCCTTTGTGCCAGCTTGGATGAGACAAGTGGCCATCGAAACGCCTGTGCACATCGTTCCGCTCGTGCGCAAAGAGTCTATAGATTGGCAAGCCTGGCGCTCCACCTTTCTTCCGCCCGCCCTGGCGACTGCTGCCGATGTGGAGCACGAGGCGGGCGAACGCTTTGTGGAAGAAGAGGTCGAGGGAGCGAGCATCGCTCGAACCCCCACCTCATCCCCGACCCGACGTTTTGTGCCGAGCCCGTCCGAAGGCAGCAGAAGCGGACCGATACGGGACTGGAGGGACAAAGAAGGCATCTTTGGGTCTGATTTCGACCCCACCTTGCCAGAGTCGGGATCGGAATCGGGATCGGGGTCAGAGTTGCAATCCGACGCTGCATCCGAGCTGGACGTGAGCAGCGCCGAGGATCAGCAAACGCGGTCCATGGGCCCTTTGATGCTTCCAGACCAGTCTATATATCCTCTCCAATCCGCTAGACGCGACGGCGCCGCACATCAGACCCAGAGCATCGGTGCTGCTTCACCTGATCTCACAAATTCAAAGCAAAATCCGCTGCTCAAACCTTCTGCCGCCACGGCCATGTCCACACTGGTGCCCGCGCTAGATGCGCAGCATTATGCCCGCCGATTCACCATGCTGCTGCGAAACGAGATGGACTTTAGGGCGGAAGAGCTGGCAGGTCAGACGCTGTACGGCGTGGGTCTGGAAGCGTACGATGCGCAAAGGGGCAGGCCTCGTCGGGGCGATCACAATGTTGCCGTCGACCGCGGTCTGTGGAATCTCAAGTTGCCAGGTATCAGAGAAGAGTACCCAAAGCTGCAGCCGGGAGATTTGGTGCGGCTCAGACCGATTGTCGATCAGGGATGGATAGAGCTGGAGTACGAAGCGAGGGTATGGGCTTTGAGGACGGTGGAAGGGATTGTGGTGCTCAAGTGCGATGAGATCGAAGAAGGCATGATGGAGCAGATGGGAACGTCTATGAATCAAGCTAGATTCGTCGTGCTGTTTAGCGGAGATCAGTCTTCGGAGGTGGACGTCATTGCGTGCCTCAAGCGCGTTCAGCAGATCCTGGCAAACGAAGATAGACCTGCAGCCATCTTGAAGAGGTGGCTCTTCCCGCTACCTCAGCATTCCGCAACGACGCAGAGCAAGGCGAGCAGCGAGCTGGACATGTCCATCGCTTTCGAAGGTCAAGGGCTCAATCCGGAGCAAAAGGTGAGTGCGCTACTCGGCACCTGTCCTGCGTATGCCGACTCCTTTGTCCCATTTTGAGCCATGATAGGTCGCGGTCGAGAGCATTGCGATGCGCCAGCACCGCGTGCCATTCCTCATCCAGGGTCCGCCAGGCACGGGCAAGACGCGCACCCTGGTGGCAGCTTGCCTTTCCGTGCTACAGCGAAACGCGAAATCCTCCATCCTGCTCTGCGCTCCGTCGAACGAAGCGGCCGATACGTTGGCCCTACGACTCGTCAAGTCTCTGAATAGGCAACAGCTGATACGCATCAATGCTCCAGGTAGGACCTTTGCGGAATTGCCCGAAGCGCTCGTGATCTACTCTCATATCGAGAATACGGACGATGGAGCTCACTTCGGTCTGCCACCTTGGACCACGCTCATGAAGGCTCGGATCATCGTTACTGCTACGCACGATGTGCCCTTGCTGCTGAAGTCTAGAGGTGTCAGTAATGCGGATCTGGGTCGCCTCGAAGTGAGTACGTGCGTGGAGCAGACTGATTGGTGCGGGTCTGACGCAGAGCATGCGGATGGCCGCAGGCGACGATCTATCAAGGGCTGCGTCCCGCCGAGCTTGCGCCCGATGTTCCTCTGCACTTTACGCATCTCTTCATCGACGAAGCGTCGCAGGGCACAGAGGCTCAAACGCTATCTGCGCTGCTCGCCGTCTTGCCCTCTCGACACACCAAGACTCAAGAGCCCAGCGTGGTCTTGTGCGGCGACACCAAGCAGCTGGGACCGCACGTTCACTCTCCCTGGGCACGGGCCTATGGGCTAGATGTCAGCATGCTGGAAAGACTGAGCGGTAGAGACGCGTATAGACACCGCTTGCGGGCTCTAAGGACGCGCGCAAGGAATGCTCTGTTGACAGGCAGCTTCGACAATGAAGACTCGCCCGACGCCTGGGCGTACTCTCCATCGCTTCTGCGCGCAAAGCTCGAAAGTGGGAGTCGGACGAAAGAGGAGCACTCTTGTGCCCAGCTGGTGCGCAACTATCGACAGAGGGATGCGAGACTTTTGCAGACGCCATCTTCCCTCTACTACGACGAATGCCTCTTGCCGTGCGCCAAACCTCGCGTCTCTGCTCTACCGATCTGGTCTGGCTTGCCGAATCCGGACGTGCCCATTCGCATCGAGCACGTGGAAGGCAGCGATGAGTGGTGCGTGCCGCGAAAATCTTTCGCAAAAGCTAGGTTTTGAGCTTCATTGCGCCGCGCTGATTACGCTTTGGTTCCCGTATTTCTTAGGGTCGACGAGGGAAGCTCTTGGTTCAATCTGGAAGAGGCGAGACGCGTAGTGGACATTTGTCGAAGCTTGACCGGACTCGCGCCGTCCTCGGACAAGGCAGCGTGCGCTGCGCCAGCGGAGGAGGAGGACGCCAACGCACGAGGATCTTTGCCTTCGGCGCAGCTTCAACGCATCGTTGGCCCGCGAGAAATCAGCGTCATTTCGCCTTTTCGAGAACAGGTGTGGTGCATACGTCTGGCTTTGAGATCTTCTCACCATACGCTCAAGGATGTGAATGTGGGCCATTGCGAAGTATTTCAAGGAGCCGAGCATCCGTGAGTGCGAAGCGATGCATTGGTCGCTACCTCATCGAATACCCACCCCTCCGTTCTGCGCGCAGCGTCAGCATCATCTCCACCGTCCGGACGCGTGAGCGTTTCTTGGACAACGATGCGAAGAGGAGCATGGGTCTGCTCTTCGAACGCAAAAGGTGAGCTTGCGCGTGCCTTCTTCGCGACGCGCCCGACCGAGCCGTGACTGACGCTGTGATGCTGGGATGGGAGAGCAGGCTTTGCGTCACACTAACCAGATGTCAAGACATGCTCATCGTGCTGGGATGCGCGCCATTGCTGGCCAAGGATGAGGACTGGGCAGCGCTGTTGGAACACTCGATGAGGCACGGAGCCTACGTCGGTCCGTCACTAGCCAATCTCGACCCGGCTTCGGGTCGAGGCATCTCGGCGCTCGAAGCAGCAGCAGCTGCTGAAACTCTGGTATCTGGCGTTCAAAAACGGCATAGAGACAGGTCTGTCGCTGCACGGGTGCAGCATGACAGACCTAATGGCGTAGTCTCGGCTTCCAGTCAGACCGAGGAGGATGACGACGACGATGGCGATGATGATGATGATGATGAAGTCAACAAGGCTATGGCTCTCGTCGTCGGACGCATGACTGCTGCTGCTCTTCTAGATGAGGACGACGAGGGCTGGACCTGAGCATGCCGTGTCGTTCCCTTTTGCTTTCCAACAATCCATTTCTACCTTGCCTCTTCCCCTCCAACTCCCCCCTCCCCCCCCCCCACCCCCGTCTCGTCTCGTCACGTCTCGTTTCACACCGCGCAACCTTTGCGAGCGGCCCCTTCATAAGCACGACCCTCCTCCAACACGTTGATACCGCACGAACCCCTCTCGTCTCTCGGGCCACCTTCCAAGCGCACCTCAAACTCCCTTAGATTCCACATTTTCTGCCACCGGTGTGATCTTGACATACAGCTGATGCCTACTTACCCCCTCTCAACGATCCATCAACAATGAGACTACTGTTACAGAGCGGCCGCTTGGTGCGTGATCGTTTGCTCCGTCGTGCACATCCACGTCGTGCGTGGCGCTTGCGCCCGCTGTGGCTCAGCTCTCTGTTGGCCGCGCCCTCGTTGCATTTATTCGCACGAACGATCTGTCGCAACGTCGACGCCGAGCCGATTGAGAGGCCTTGTCAATCTGAACGCCAAATTGACCCACTCAGATTATTCTGCGTATCACGGCGGGACGACCGGGCCGGAGTGGTGCCTGCATGCGCATGGATGCGCGTTGTGTTGTGCGCGCGCGTGCCTGATGGACTCGATCAAAAAGCGAACGCGCGGCCGCGGCGTGGGCCGCTGCACTGCCTACCTCCGTGTCCAAGCGGACCGCCTATACCGGTAAACGTGAAAGTACTGCAATCAGCCTCCCGCCCGCGCTGCTGTACCACTTTCTGAGGCTGTGCATGCGAGTAGGACACGACACGCGTATGCTGTATGCTGCATGGCGAGCAAGTGTTCCAGTGAGCTGCCTCTTGACTTGCATCACCACCACCATCACCAACACCACTCAGCAGACTCCATACACAGCGAGGCTCTTCGGAGGGACTCTGGAGCGAAGCACGATGCTCAAGGATCCAATGGTGGCGCTGCCACCCGAGGTGACCACGATCGTGCTCAGCTTTGTGGATGTGCTGACGCTGATGCATGCGAGGAGGATAGCGAAGCATTGGAAAGCGCTCATAGACGACAGCGGCGACGATATCTGGAGAGGTGTGGCTTTACATCTCGGTCTCACACGCACCTTTGATGCTGATCTTCCACCTTCCATCGCTGCGCCTCAGGAGCAACCTCTGAGCAAATTCGCAAACGAGGCGATCATGAGCACCACGGGATACTTTGAAGAGCTAAAGTCCTTTAGAAATTTATGCTACAGGTATGCACGACTAGCTGTATCCTGGAACACATCCGGCATCGTCGATGAGAGCGAATGGGAATCTCCAACGGCGCGCATATGGCCAACGGGCTGCATCTTGGAGGTCAACGACCAGATAGGCCACCGCATCCAGCTCTCGCCCGATACAGGCAGCGTCGAAGCAGTGACGTACGATTGGGAGGATGGGGTGCCGCAAGCAAGCGGTACGGTGCGCAGTTACCCCATGAAGCACTTGACTTCTGAGCGCACGGAGGATGCTCGTTCGTGGACTAGCGTGCAAGAGATCGGTAGGGGTCCTTCGCTACCCCCATTCGCTCACCTCGAGGGAGACGCAGGCTACCTGTTGGCTTGCGCGCATGACTTTTTGGACTCCATCATCGTGTGGAAAAAGTCCAGACAGCTCAACGCGTACGAGGAAGTGGGATCGCTGGTCACTCCTCACGGTATGGGACATCCACGCGCTTCTCGATTCCGATATCCTACTTGCGTGGCGGCAACGCTCGACAGGGAATCCAAAAAGTGGTTCATTGTGGGTTGGGACGTCACTAGGCTCGCTGTATCCTTTTCTTTTCCTCTGGATCCAGAGAGGGGAGCGTGCGAATACGTCGAGTTGGACGGAAAGGGCATGATCTTTGTGTGTCACGCAATCGGCTTTGCAGTGTACAGCCTCAAAGGCGAAACGCAGCTCTGGATGGGCTTCAAACTCATCAGCAAACACGACGATGGTTCTGGTTACGAATTCAAACACTGGGCGCAACCCGCCGAAAAATTTGGCAAATATCACGTCGCACAGGCCGAGATTCAACATGCCTTGAGGGACTTGCAACACGTACGGACACCCCTCGAGTGGAGCGTGGAAGAAGATTGTTGTAGAGCAGGCTCTTCGCAGCCCATCGAGGAGAACTCTTTAGCGACGGTGAGTGCTGGGCAAGAGACGGGAATGCAGATCCGAGTAGTGATTAGGTCAGCGACTCATGCCAAATTCCTGCCACGTCCAGATTCTTCTTTGCCAAGCCGCCCTCTTTTCCAGGTCCATTCATCCAGATACCAAAACTGACACTCTTGTCGTTGGCTGCGACTGGGGTCTGATCCTCCTAAGGCCATACTCTGCCTTGGCGCAGGAGCATAGCAAGGGCGTAATCGAGGTGGCGCGCATCGGTCTTCAAGACTTTCTGCCTCGCTTCATCAACGGTTTTGGCGAGCCGCCAAACCAAAGATATCACATGTACATGGCAGTCTCTGACGGAAGGGTGTGCTACGGAAATTATGACGGGCGTTATGTGAGTTTGAACTTGCCTCGACTGTTGACGGGTTGAACGTCCAGTGTCTTGACGCCAAAGCTGACAGTCATGCACCCAACGCGTGTCGCGAACAGAGGAGCTCTGAAGATACTTTCATCATAGATCTCGCTACGGACAGACTGAACCCATCGCAGACTGCTGGCACTTTCGAAAACGTCAAGGTCTGGCATTGGCAAGCTCGTCAGCCAGAAGAAAATGACGAGCTGCTAGTTTCGTGCTTGCAAATGGATGCCAGCGGAGTCTACGTCTGTCGCCCTGCGGACGCCTTGGTGTACTCGGTGAGCAGAGCGCGCGCTGAACGTTCCCCGGGCATCATTGAAGCTGGCCCATATCTTACGTGACCCGCGCGGGCTCAAATCCTTGCCGCTAGGACTTTGGCATGGCTGCTAAATGTCGACCGGACGATTTGGGCAGGCATGCCAAGCAGGAAATCATCTACAAGGAGACTGAGCAGCGCGTCTTGGCAGAGCATGCGGCGATTGATGAAAGACATCGTCAGGAGCGCTTGAATGCTGCTGCTGCTGCTGCTGCTCAGCCCGAAGCGGAAGCTCACGCTCCACCAGGAGCAGCCGTCGAAGTCATCGAAGACCCTAATGATCCCGATCAGCATCCATCAGACGAAGACGCCATGCAGGTCGATGAGGCTCCGCCGCAGGACGACGTTGCGTAAGCACCTTGCTAGGATATGTAGAGTACTGTACCAAAAGCAAGTCCGTTTCAAGAATGCGCTGGCGCACGCACCGACGACGGGTTCATTCGTGTCCAGTCGTGCAAGCCGCCCCCCGACGTCACTAGACTGTTGCGCATGCCATGTTCCGATATTTAAACAAGAGTCATCTCATCGTTTTGATTTGTTGCTCCCGAGAATGTTAGTCGATGTCGTGACAAGTACTCGAATGAGATCCGGATGCTGGGCAATGTCTGGTCATTCTCCTTCGCAGAGGCACGTCTTCTCAAGGCTCTGTCGGAGCGGCCATGCAGGGTCCCTGGTGTCGCGCACGCGCCCACATGCATAAACATGTACATCACAGTCACCTTGTGGTCGCGGTTGTGCTAGACAGCAAGGTGTCACATGGTGCGACCGCTCGCTGTGCTCCACTGACAGTGTGGTGGTGGGCTTGAGCGGCGAAGCAAATGAAGTCTGTGATCCAATCGAGGGATGCGCCGGCATGCGAAGCTCACGCGGTCATGTGTCATGCGTAGCGCGGGCGCGCTGGCTGGGCGTCGCGCTAATCGCCAATCAAGAATGCAAAAGCGACCCGCCGCGCTAGCACGGTGATAGCGAACGTGGTAGTGCTGCACGACGTTCATAAAGGGATCTCGTGGAATTCAACGGCTCGTGCGCTCGCTTCGGATGAGCAGGGATGGCCATCCTCCTCGCCAACTTGCGAGGGCGTGTCACACATTGCCAAACGAAACGGTGGAATCAGGCTGATCTACCATGACACACGAAAAATGACGGAGCGTTGACATCCATCTGACCGTAGACACCGCGCCGCGCGCCAAGACTGCGTCTCTTTGCACGACCTCTCGATAGATCTTGCCTTGTGCGCAGCAACCCGATAGCCGCCAAGACAGTGATTCGAAGCACAAGTCACAGTGGAAGCTTTGCTGCGCGCCGATACTACGGAAGCTCTTGTTGATGTGTCAGATTCAGGCGCAAGGTAAAATTGGCTCAGCGCCCAATTCACCATGTCATCGCTGGCGGGTTTGCGCGAGGCTATCAGATCGCGTGGTCCTGCGTGCAGCGGCAATGATGGAGAGGAGCATGCAATACGTAGCCGGGCGTGTCAAATGAAAATCGCGACCTCAGCAAGTCGCTGTGAGGTGACTCGAGATCGGCCTGTCCGTGGCGCTATCGCTAATTCAGAATGCAGACGCGTGAGAGATCGTGGAGAAAGGGAAGTGCAAGTCGAAGAGTGCTAGCCAGCTTTGGACGTATCGAAGCCTTCTCTTGCATTGAAGCGCTCAACAATTTGAGGTGCCATTTTGCGCAAGTTTTCGGCAATTGGCTTCATTTGCTCTAGATTGGCAACTTGTTGAACGTCTTCAACCGTGAGGAAAGGGGCTCCAGGTTTTGCGGCCACGAGGTCCAGGAATTTTGGGCGCAAATGTTGGAGCGCATGAGCGGTTGGGGCTGAGGGACCGTCGAAGTTCGGAGAAACCTGTCCATCATGGTACTCATCCGATAGCAAGCTGTGCAGGCATGCGAAAAGAGGTAATAGGCGCGCACTGTGCAGTGCTGCCTCGGTGCACATGTCCATGATGACCAGCTCTTTCACCTGCGTCGCTGCCTCCAGCAGGTACAGTAGACGACCTGCGAGGCTATTAGGCGATGCGTCATCAATGAGTTTAGGGACCGGACCAGTCTTCTCATCATTCTCATGTGACCACCTTGCCACATACTCTACGCGTAACGAGTCCGCGTCCCATTCATCGAAGTTAAAATCAGCTGCGTCTACCATTCCTCTGTCGTCGTTCTCCCATTCCACAGAGATTGTGAGTTTTTCGACTTGTTTGATGAGCTGGCCGTAGTAGGCTGGCGTCAAGGTACATCAGCAAAGAATTCCCGTTGCTACGGCAATAAAGCTTCCGAACGCCTCACATGGAATTGGTAGATGAGTATCGGTGGGCCAAGACGTATAAGTAACCGTCCACGCGTCAATGACTTGCGCTCCGATGCTTAGTTCCTTGACGCATTGCAATCCGACAATGCGCGTGACCGCTTCCTCCGAGAGCCTCCAGGCTCTCTCGTCGCAAATTAGTCGTGCAGGCTTGCACAGCTCAAGCAGACGCAGCAAAGCCTTTTCGTAGTCGTTGTAGTTTTCCATGTTTGGTATGAGACCATTGCCGAAAGGTCCATTGCGACGTGCAAGAGTCGCCTCTGTGTGTTCCGGATCGGCCTCTGGAGTTTCGTATGTGAAGGCATCCGAATCATAAAAGTCTGCCGGTTCCTTAAATGGCCAACCTTCTTTGTCTTGATTGGCACAAAGGTCACACGAATTTTTGGAAGGACAAGGCGGCCAAGGCGACTCAGGCCGTCCTTGCTCGACTGCTCTGTGTTTGCGCTGAGCAACCCGGTCCACCATTTCTGAGGTGAGGATGTCCGCATGGTAAGTGTATAGCCGTCGTAGAATACGCCGTCTGTCCATAAAGACGCGCGTTCCTATGGGGGGGATTGACCTGATATCCGGATCGAGAAAGGCGCATCCTGGGGCCCACAGTTCCGGTGCAAACGCGTTGTACGACAAGTGCTCTTCTCCGGTGTTCACGCTCGTGACCACATCACAAAGCCAAGGAAGAGCTTCTAGGCTCTCGATCTGACCGAGGATACGATCCATGCGCGCGGTCAAGTGACGCGATTTCTTTCGCATGATGTATGCAAAGCATGCTGGAGACTGCGGGAAATGCGTACGGGTTTAGGCTTGCATGATGTCGGTGTGTGTGCGTCGCTCGTTCTGTAGTGAAGAACTCACAGCGGAGAGAAAAGGAAGCCACGCGTCCTCTGGCGGACACTGTCCCCAGCCAGCATCGGACGCGTACTCGAGTATGAGCTGTAGCACCTCCAAAGGCAGCTCAGCAAAGGGATCTGACATGATGTCGCTTCTGCCTTGCCGGGTGAGTCACGCGAAGGCAGCTGGTCCCCGAAGAGCCTCCTTTATCTATCGTGATGACCAAAGCAGCGTTCTTGAAGCCACCAAAGTCCACCTCGCGGCGCTCTCTGATCAGAGGGCGGGGCCAAGGCGTGCGTCTATCCGAGGATCCGACTTCAAGCGGACTTGACCTTGAACGATTGATTCTTGAGGAACGCTTCAGAAGCGCATCCGATAGCTGTCGCAGTCACGGTAACATGTGGTGCTGAACGCGGAAGGCAAGCCCTCCTCAGAGAAAGTTGCACTCTCACCGTAGAGCGTTCATACTCCCACATCGTCCGCGAGAGGTTTCAGAAAGCCACTGCGTCTGCGGGCGCTCAGCGTCTCTTGCGCTATCCATCTGCGCGCCCATGCACCGACCACGCGGTTCACGCGCATGCATCGGCAGGCGCTGGCGCTAGTCTCTGGGGTGATGAGCGCCGTGCGACCGTGCCAATGAGGTGTTGACCACGCGGGGCGCATGGGAGTCGGTGCCATGCCCACGACCGTGACATTCGCACGTCCTTAGGCAAGCGTCGCTTCGTGCCTCTGCTCATCATTCCATTAGCATGCCAAAGCGTTCAGATGCGCGCAGTGCGCTGGCTCGGCTTGGCGTCGCTCTTGTCTCGCTACAGACTCGAGGCTCTGATCAGAGAGGCTGGACGCGCCAAGGCACCGTCACTCGTCCTTGCTGCGTTGAACGTCCAACGGGCCTCTACTGCACGGCCAGCAGACATGGCCGTCTCGTATGGTTGTTCGGCGAGCCGCTGCAACCTCATGAACCGACGCCATTGGCGTCACATCATGTGGAAGAATGAGAGGGGTCCACATGACTGCCCTTGATGACCGGCAGAGATATTGGCAGCAGCCGTCGGGTGTGCGCGTCTTTCCCGCGCGCTGTTCAGCGGACCGCGCGGTAGGTGCATCAAATCGCAATGCCGATCACGTAGCTCGCATGGTCAGGGCCAGAGGCTTCAGCCTCGCACACTTCTCGTAGCTCTCCCAGCAGCGAAGCTCGAAGTCATGACTCGGACTTGTTCGCGGAGAGGGAGGCCAAGAGCCTTCATTCTCCGCGGCCAGGAAGGATGCACAACGCCCAGCCCAAAGCCTCTCGATGTCGACCCCTCCTCTGATGCCTAAATCATCTTTCCTTCTTAAGGTTTGGAGAACGACTTCGTGACTCTGACAGCTACGTCGATCGGCGATTCCTCGTGCACGATTGTTGCAAGCATGTGCTTGGGAAGGGCTCGACGTTTGTTCATGCGAAGTGATTGCGCCCTGCTGAGCCATCTGCGTGCGCCCAATCGCAGCGGCCTGCAAACTAAATCCGACGCTACTCCTTCATTGACTTGCAACCGATCTGATACTGCGCTTGTCGGCACAATCATTGTGGACCATGTTCTCGCTCTCAAGGCAGCATCGCGCGGCTTCATGCCACGCGGTCATGGGTAATAGCTGTAACCCGCCCCCTCTCTTTTCCCCCAAAGAGAACGAAACTTCCTTGCACGAGGTCGCGCAAAGACGTGGATTGGCGAAATATTGCATGTGAAGCTCTGGCGTGGAATGGCCATCTGAACCGCGCTACGTGTGACAGCGAGCGTTTGTGAGGAAGAAGCCAACTTTATGTCAGTCTTGGATGAGCTTAGTGAGCACCTGGCCTCGCACTTAAATAGGGCACTTGGCAATGCAGGAAGAGATCCATGTCAACAGACTCCAAACCACCTCGGTCGGCAGGTCCGCCTCTACTGTGAAGACCCCTCCCATCGCTACCGCTGAGCGGCCCTATCCCTTCTTTCCCTACCTCCTTTCATGCCCTTGCTGATGTGGAAGGTGTCTCTGACTTTGTGCCTGCTGGCAGGCATGATGCTCTGCAGCGCCTTCAACGTGGTTCGAGCGCGGCCTTTCGGCCAAGAAGCCTCTCTCCCCGCAGAGCTTACCGCAGGATCTGCAACGCAATCTCTGGCTTTTCGCGACACGCCCGACGCTCTCAATCGTGCTTCTGCAAATGTCGATATTGCCTGCACGTCGAGCACGCCCCCAGAGGCGTCTCCTGCCCGACGGACCATCAGCAGCTCCTCAGCGTTGCGACTGCAGCCTCGCCAATCGCCTAGTCCCCTGGCAAAGAGCAGTTGGGTTGACCGTGATGCTGTAATGTGCCCAGGTTCGACAAAATTTCCCAAAGGAATACCGTGGCGGGACGACAAGTATCGCAAAAATTGTGGGACAAAAATCGGCTACAATTATCGAGTGCCAGACCCAAAAGATGTCAATGGAGACCTTGTGACTGTCGCAACGGGGTGGAAGGCGAATGGCAGGAATACCCCTAAAAACCCTATTGCTGGAGAATGCGACCACCCGGTCGAACTGAACTTCTTCCGGCGAATGTTGATGGCGGATTTGGTAGAATATATGGTGAACTTTTCCAAGGATCCCAACTTTGACACCATGGACAAAGCGGAAAAAAAGTTCTGCGACGCGCTAGAAAAAGATGCGTCGTCGGTAACCAAGATCAGAAACGTACTGAATGGCGTAGAAAACGTGTGGGGGCTTCCTGCAACCGTCAATCAGTTGAAGGCAAACGCTACGGAGGCGCGGATCAACGGAACGCGTCTGGTCTGGTATGCAGATCGAGTCAGTGACCGAGGATCTTATAACCATAACAAGGCAGCTCCAGGGCTTATCCAGTGAGTGACTAGGTCGTCTGGCCCCACGCATCTGTCGACGCGCACTAAGCCATGTCACTTGCTCTTCAGATATATCGAGGATCAAAAAAGCAATACGAAACAGATTAGCAAGCTGTTGTTCGATGCTGTAGAGGGTGCCCTCAAGATCGGCGGTGTTTCGATTGCCGGGTACGATACAAACGCTTGGTACAAGTTGTCGGAACAAGGCCTAACAAATGTTGCCGAGGACACCAGGAAATATCTTGCTACCATTCCGCCCGCCGTTGCCTCGCACTGCGGGATGAACCCCAACGGATACCAGAAAGGCCAGACAGTGCCGACCAAAGACGGAAACGGCTGCTGCCCAAAGGATACCAGGATCGATGCACGGTGGAGGCCTTCAGACACAGACTACGAGAACCCGGTGGCCGATCAACAGACCGGTTGTAAGAGAAAGCGCCCCACTTGCGATAGCAAGAAGCAGTGCTGCCTCTTGGCTGACGGAGAAACTTCCAAGGATTCCAAGCCAAGCCGACGTGACATGCTGCGCGGCCCCATGTTCGCTCGTGGCACACTCGTTGATCAAGATGATTGTCCTGAATCGCCAGGTGGAGGACCGCCCCCACCGCCTCCGCCCCCACCGCCTCCGCCCCCACCGCCCCCACCGCCCCCACCGCCCCCTCCGCCTCCGCCTCCACCTCCTCCTCCACCTCTCCTACCTCCGCCGCCGCCGACGTCTGGGGAAGCTCCGCTACCTTCAGCACCGCTCCTCGGGGGCGGTACATCCTCTTCCGCAGCGGCGACATCCAGCGCGAGCACAGAGTCGTGGGTGCTCAACACCGCTTTGCCCACTCCACGCTTCAGCTTTCCCAGTCATGCGGGCGCAGGCAAACATCAAGCTACTCACTCATCCAACCGCAACTCCAAGCCGACGTCCACATCAACAAAGTCCAAAAGATGATGCCCGCGCGATTTGCCGATCATTCCCATCTTGCGCCATGGTATTGCTCGGCGCTCGCCGCCTGTGCCGAAGCCGGTCTTTGTCCGGTGCGTGTACCGCTTCACTCCCTATCCACCTTGCGATTTCGTCTTTCCGCAATCCATATGCCACTTTTCACATGTATCTTCTTCCACGTCCATGCTGCTCGCAGTTCTTGAGGCGTCAACGCGCGAAGTCGGTCGCTGCGCTTGTGGTGGTGTGTACCGAGACATGAGACGAGATGGGGCCACACCCACCCTCGCCAATCAAGAATCGCTTGATTTATGTGATTGACTCTTGACGTGCATGAAGCCCCGACAACACGCACGCGACTCACGTTCGCTCACGCGCGCCGCGTCGACACACGTGACTTGCGATCCGCCCTGCTTTCTCTCGTTACAAGGCGGGCGGGAAGTAAAAACTCGTGAATCATCAATGAATCGACGATTAGACGGCCGCAGCATGGCATGTACGCGCTCTCTCATATCAGACAATAGATACAATTCGATTAGGATGAGACGATGCAGTCCTCTCAGGGACACGTGGTTGCCCGAGTGAATGGTGGGCTGTGAAGGGAGATGAAGGGGTAGAATGATCATGCCTTGGCCATGCCAGCACACTAAAAGGTAAAGCCGCGGTATTCGCTAGAGAGCGTCTTCATCCTGGCTATTTGTCCCTTTGTGAAACCGTAGGGTCTGTAGCAATGCTGAGGCACGTAGTTCATAATGTTGGAGACATCGTCCTTGCCCGGCAAGTTGGGACAACTATCCACCTGACCCACGGGACAGCCGGAGGTGTAGCCCGTGGGAAATTGTTGTGCCGGCGTATCCTCCACGCCATCTCCTTCGCCGTCGCAGCCACCAACAAAGGTGTGTTGCAGACCGAAGCTGTGGTGCGTGGTGCGAGTTGGGGCAAGTCTCGGCTCAGTGCATCGACACGCCGGGGGGAGGGCACAAAAACCTGATTTGTGCCGCTTTTGCCGCCCACTCACGCATGACCCATCTCGTGCACCAACGTCATTCCGATCGACGTCGTCCCGTTGCGAATTTGGCCCGGCATCGTCTTGTAATCGAAACTGATACCGTCTAGCTTGGGAGAGCGGCTGATGTCTTCTGGAAAGGAAGAGTATCCTTTGAGTTCGATGCCGCGCGCATCTGGAAAATCGAGCGAGTAGACGTTGATGGTTCCCGGCCCTCCCGTATGCAGGGCTTCCCTCATCTGTCTGCTAGCCGAGTCCTTGAGGTAGCTCAACGTCAAAGCCGTCTGGGCCCAATCGCTCCTGGTCCTTGTGATGTTGGCAATCTCAAACTTGATGCCCAGCGTCTTGCTATACACATCGTCAAGCTTGCGCACCTGCTTTTGAATCGTGGCGCTAGAAACATTGCCGGCTTTCTTGTTGTACACGACGTGCCATGCGATCGGCACCACCGTCGTCGGCTTTTCGCCTTGCCCTCGAGCGCGAGCATGGGCGTGATGACGAGGCGTAAAGTGCTCAGACGCATCTACGCGAGGGTGCAGCTGCGCCAAGGGTCGCTCTGATCCACACCATGGCGTCGCATTTGCGATGCCACTACTAGCGGCCACCACCAGCAGCAGCAGCAGCATGGAGACAAGGGGTGGGAAAAGGCGAAACATTCTTCCGCGTCGAAAAAGAAAGCGTAAAAGGAGAGGCAGAGGAGATTGGCCGGGCGGGCGGGCAGGTGAGGCGACCGTATAGCGGCCAACTTACGAGATGTAAAGAGAGAGAGGGAGGGAGGGAGAGTGCAAGCACACGGATCAAACAGAGCGCGTATGCCATTCTTTTGTTCGCTCTTTATATGTTTCAAGGCCATCAGGATAGCGCCGAGGGACAGTGCAAGTGTCGTGTGCCTCATATGTGCTGCGACGCCAGCAGCGGGGCCGACCAGGTCTACAGAAGATCCGCTCCCGCCTGCTGCCCTGAATACACGCCCATTTTTTGTCTGTGTGAGCTGCATACATCCATGCTGCTACTCGCAGCTCCAAGCTGTTCGGAGATCTTGTCCATCGGCATTTGTGCATTGGGCAGCCTAGCTGCGGTCTGCGGCTGGAGAGAGTACGAATCAGTCCGAGTCTAGAGCACCAGTGTGGTGTGTAAAGGGCGTGCCACTGCGCGGGCTGAGACGTTCCGACCCAAAGCAATTGACAAATTGTTGATGTGCTGCTGCCTTTCTCGGTGTTCCGCGAGCGCAGACGCGCGCGTCCCGTCGTGATTCTTACCCTACTGTACCCCGCGGCACATCAGGCACGATCACATATACATGCATGTACGGTATCACTGCGTTTGACATTCGTCGACTCCTCAAATTGCGCCAATCCATATACGCGAGCATGCATACGTGCCGCCGCGCGTTTCTTGTGTCGATCGAGCTTGGGCGATATGGAGATCTTGACGACCGCCCGCGCTCGTCCGCGGGTGGTAGCTGAGACATAGGATTGAGTCGCAGCTTGATTTGATTTGATTTACGACTGCATGGTTCTGGCTTTGCACGGTACCTACAAGACTCGATCGTCAGCACATATCCGACGCATGCAGCGCGAGGGGAGCGCGGAACCGCGCGCCTCCGAGACAAGGCGGAACCGGGCGCTGCTGATGGCTGGTATAATGATGCGTGCAGCACAACACGCGTACGTGGTCCACAAGCCACCAAGCAATCGCAATGAAGCAAGCAAGCTGTCGATCAAGCAAGTAGAGTGTAGTAGCAATTATATAGTCTGATATGAGTCTCAGCAGTCGTGCATGGATGGATCAGATGACATTTGAAATGCAAATCCTGAATCAGGTTTTCTGGGCGGGGAAAGGCCGCGATCACAGTCACGAGTTGAATATTCACGAGTGAATCAAGAGCTGAAAGAGAAAAATCAAGAATAAGGGTTCTAGCCGAGGAACAAGTCACGTGGGTGTGGATGCGCACGGACTCTTGACTCAAGACAAGACTCTTGACTTTCTTGCTGCTGCAGATCGGAGCGGCATGCAGCGGTGCCCGCATCCACACCGAACAATTAAGCAGACGATGCTGCTGCAGAGGCTCATCGACGTGCTGCTGACGTGAGGCTGAATGCGTGCTCGCGCAGACGTCAGGGTGCAGCTAGCCATACAAGATATATGCGTGACGTTGATATGCGCGTGCTGCCGTATGGCTGCTGCTCAGAGGTGAACCACACATATCGGGCTTGTGTGCTAGCTGAGAGCGGCCTGGACCCTTTAGCTGATCGAGATGGTGACCTGCGTACGTGGGGACATGTTGCGCGTAAGACGCACCCGTGACTTGCCATATATGCTGCCATAGGGAGCGCGGATTTGTCATGCCGTGAAGGTGCATGATATGCGAACCATGCGAGCTGAGCAACAGCTGGCTCGTCATTGGCTGCGAGTCGCGAGTTGTGAGTTGTGAGTTGTGAGTGCAGCGACGAGCCAAACGCACCCTTTTGAGCGATCGGAATGGTATCTGGGGACTTGTGCGAGTATGATGAGAGAAAGAAAGAGAGAGCGCGCACCCGCCCCGCCGATGTATGATCGATCGTGGATGCTTGGTGACTGTGTTGTGATCCTTGGAGCAATTAAGCTCGAGGTGGGTTCGAGCGATGGCGTAAGCAATCACAAATCCACTCAGTGACTCACACTCGGACTCATCGCAGATTCGTGATTGTCAATCGTCGCGATAACTGTAGATGCTCGGACCGACGCTTGCCCACCCCTCCAAGCTGTACACCATCACCGCGCACTTCACCCTGACACATGCCCGGCTCGACATACATGTCTTTCCATTCCTTGACTTCTCGAGTGCTGCACACGCTCCCATCCGCTTCCCATCCCCTAGCTACATCGTCGACGGCATTCACAACCTTCGCTCGCGCTTCGCATAACCACCTTCGCACAAGACTCTTGCACACATCCCGCATCAACATGGCGCCTCAAAGGGTCAAGGTAGCCAGCAGCGATGCTGCGCCCAAGCCTGGGCAGCACAAGGCTTTCGATTTTGCCGGCGAGGGTGACGACAAGGTGCAAGTGTGAGTCAAAGTTGCGCAGCCAGCCAGTTGCTGGGAGGGCGGGTGGTGAGGACCCTTGGCCAACTCGCCAGCATTGCTTCGCTCCTCACGCGCTGACCAATCCGCCGTCGATGGTTGGCCTCGTCTCGTCTGGCCTCGCCTCTACTCGACTCGCGCCCACAGACTCGTCACCAACGTAGGGGGCAAGCTGAGAGCGCTGTCGAACAAGTGCACCCACTATGGCGCTCCCATGTCGAATGGCGTCATGAGCAAAGACGGATGCTTGACTTGCCCGTGGCACGGCGCCAGATTCGGCGCGGATGGAGACATCGAAGAGGCGTGAGTGCGCAAGACGGGATGCGCGAAACGTGGAGCGTAACGCGCAGCTCATCAGCGCGAAAGCGTCGCTCTCTCCACGCGCACGCGCATACATGCACAGCCCTGGATTGGACTCTCTCGTGCAGTTCAAAATCGAGCAGGATGGCAACGGAGATGTGTACGTGACGGCAGATGCAGCACAGCTCAAGGGCAAGCCTGGCGTACCTCCCGAGTTTGTGGGCAAGGAGGGAGCGCAAGATGGAGCTGGCGTGGTGATCGTGGGCGGAGGAGCAGCAGCGATCCATCTGGTGGAGAGCGCACGCAAGAATGGCTACACTGGACCCCTCACCATCCTCTCGGCTGAGCCGTATGCTCCAATCGACCGAACAAAGCTCTCCAAGGCTCTGATGGCCGATGTGGGCGCGGTGGAGTGGCGCAAGCCTGCACATCTGGAGCGAGTCCTCAAGGTCAACCTCCGCACCAGCACAGAGGTGACGGGTGTTGATGTTGATGGGAAAAAGGTGAAGCTGGGCAGCGGCGAGACTGTGCCTTTTGACAAGCTGGTCTTGGCTACGGGTGGTAGTGAGTCTGATGCGCAGCGCTAGTGTGGGTCACTTTGCACACCGCTGACTACAGCGCTACCCGCCGCAGCCCCCAAGCGCTTGCCAGTGCCCGGAGCAAAGGAGGGCGAGCTTGCAAACGTATTTACATTGCGCAGCATCCAGGACACCAAGCCCATCAATGATGCCGGCATCGAGGGCAAAGACGTGGTGGTCATTGGTTCCTCCTTCATCGGCCTAGAGTCCGCCGTCGCTTTTGCGGGCAAAAAGGCAAAGAGCGTCAATGTGGTGGGCATGGAGAGCGTGCCATTGGAAAATGTGCTGGGCAAGCAGGTAGGAGAGGGTCTTCAAACCGCGCTAGCCAAGAAGCAGAACCTCATCTTTCACATGAAAGCTGGCGTGAGCAAGTTGGAGGGCAAGGATGGCAAGGTGGCGAGCGTGATCATCAAGGATTCTTCAGGACAGGAAAAGTCTTTGCCTGCTCAGATCGTCTTGCTTGGGGTGGGCGTAGCGCCTGCTACGCAATTCCTCAAGCCCGAATCGTCTCCTGGCTTTCCCCAGCTTGGCAAGGACGGCAGTGTGGCTGTGGGTTCAGACTTTGCCGTCAAGGGTCTCGAAGGCAAGGGAATCTATGCAGCTGGAGACATTGCCAGGACACCGGAGCGGACGAATGGTGGAGAAGTGCGCATCGAGCACTGGGACGTGGCAGGCAATCATGGTGAGTGGCGGCGCGCGATCCGAGCTGCGCCGATGCGGTCCCCGCTGAACAAGAAACTTTTTGCTTCCTCGCAGGACGCTTCCTTGGCCAGCTCTTTTCTGGAAGCGCCAACCCGGGCAAATTCGACAAGATTCCAATCTTTTGGTCGGCATTGGGCGCGCAACTACGCTACTGCAGCGATGGAAACACGCCCTCTTTCGATTCGGTCCACGTCGATGGCGATGTGGCGGAGAATTCGTTCATTGCGACGTATGCGCGCGGTGATTCTGTCGTGGCGATCGCTACGATGGGGAGGGATCCAGTCATGGTGCAATCTGCCGAGCTGCTGAAGATCGGAAAGATGCCGTCCTTTTCGGATGTCAAGAGTGGCAAGGTGAGTGTGTGCGCGCGCGAACGTCGCGACGAGGTGGAGGACGGGTGCGACAAGGTCAAGTACACAGAGCGACGACTGGGCTGATGCCTTGCTCAACACACGATCCTGAATCGCAGGACCTTTTGAGCATCAGTCTGTCCTGACGCACTCGTCGCCTTTTCTCTTCTTGCCTATTTTGCGCTTCATCAATTTCGTATACGCACGCAGCCCCTTCCCCTCTTGTCTGCCGTCGATGCGCCCGCAGTCAGATCAGCGCAACTATGAGGGCAGATAGTTAGAAGTCCATGCCGTGTAAAATTCCTAGCGTGTGAATCGCAATCAGTACAGCTCCGACGACGATCTGTACTTGTTGGCCTTGGGAAAGAGCATTCTAGGTCCTGTAGCGGGTCTGCGTATCGATTGGCCGCCTTGCCTTCTGTAGGCGGACGCCTCTGCAGCCTGAGAGACGCGCTTGATCTGTTGTCTGCCCGCCAGCCTATCCATAGCCTCGCACATCCTCAACTCTTCCGCCCCAGCTTTGTCCCTAGGTTCGATGGGAGCGGAAGACTTTTCATAGAGCGTGCTCGACTTGCTGTAAGCCCCGACGCCGACGCGGACGCCGTTCGCGGGCGCAGGGACGTATCGAACGGCCAACTTTCTAGCTTCGTCCGTGATCCTCTCGATCATGCCTCGTAACCTCTTTTCCTGATCTTGTCCCACTACCAGCGGTGGTGAAGAGGGCCTCCTATACTGTTGTTGCGAAGTACCGGCGGCGGCGGCGGCAGTAGCAGAGCGCGAAAGCACACCCACATTACGAGCGCTGAGAACGACGTCGTAAGCTCCTGCTAGATCGCCCAGCACATCCCAACGCGTGCTCAGCGCTTCGGCGTACAGCTCTGGCGTGCTTCCCAGCGCGATCGAAGCGGGTCCTGATAACCTCATGGCGCTCAGTACGGCCAGGGCGATTCCGGGCGCGTGGTAACGTTCTCGCAGCGTCGTCACTAAGCGAACCAACACGGGTCCGTAAAAGGGTGTGGAGAGACCGTAGAGCGGCGTGGGCAAAGATGCGGGCGAATTCGAATCGGACGGCGTGGTGGCAAAGAGATCGTCTGGACGTGCCGTCTCTTGCGCATTCTCCGCCGCCGCCGCCTCTGCATCTTTGGCGCGAGTCAAAGCCGGCGACGCGTCGGATGAGGATGCTTGCTGTGCGCCGCTGGATGGAGGATGGGCAGGATTCGGGACGCCGAACACGTTGGTTTGTGCCCACTGCCAGACCTCCACTGCGCTGCAACAAGCGTCTATGGCAGCTTGCGCATCGTCCACTCCCTGTCTAAGCTGAACCGGATCCACACCTTCTAGCGTCGTACCTTCCATCTGAGCCCCAATGGTTCGGATCGGTACTCTTCTCCTTCCTCTGCCACCCAAACCTCTTCCGGCCCAATCCAACTCCACGCTCGTCCCTGCTCCATCCTCTTCATCCACAAATCTTCCCCCACCGCCGCTGCCACTGTATCCGCCCAAGCGATTTCTGCGCGCAAACCTTTCCCAGCCGTGCGCAACGGAAGAGCCGAATGCGGATTCGTTGGGATTGGAAAGTCGACTGTGCAGCGGTCTGAGCAGTTCTGCGAACCTCTGCCTCTCCCAATCTGCCAAGGGCGTTCTATGCGCTGCTTGAGACTGACTCCGACTAGCAGAAGAAGAGGAAGGAGAAAAGAGTGCACCTCTACCCTGCGCCTCTGCGCGTCTTTGCCTCTCGTTGCCAAATCCCTCGCCTTCGTCTGCAAATCGATTGATGAGAGGCAGATGATCGCCGCTACCGCTGGAACGCTGCTCCTCTGCAGGAGCATCGCCATGGCGCAACCCATCATTCCAGCCATGATCACGCAATTCTGCCGGTTCGTGGTGCGGCGTGCGAGGAAAGAGCTGAGCAGCAGTGTACGCTCCCCCTTCGCCAGCATCGTCGTCGATAAATGGCGCATCGTCCTCCACTAGACGCGCCTGTGCCTGTGCCTGAGTCTGTGCCTGTGTCTGCGCTTGCTCTTGCCCCGCTTCATCACGCTCATCTGCTCCCTTCACATCCCTGCCCGCCGACCTCTGGCCACCTTCATCGTCGGCTCTGCGAACAGCGCACCAGTGCAGACATCTTTGACCTTCGAAGCCCATCCTTCTCGATGCGCACGCAGCACCACGATTGATGGAGCGGCGAGTAGGAATGGCGCAGGATGAAGATGAGATGCGCACTGCTCCTCTACTCAAAGTAGCGCAAGTGGGAGGAGGAGGAGGGGGAGGAGCGTAGCGCAAGACCACACCCAGCGCTCCGTCCCATGCACGTGATGCTGCCATGTTTGTTTGATGGATGGATATATGGATGGATGACGCTTGACGCTGGACTGTTGCGATGTCCTCGATGTGATCGGTTGGTTTGCAAGAGGGTGGTATGCTGGGTGCGAGTGGCCTTTTGAGAGAAGAATGCTGGGGAAGGGTGTAATTCACCGCAGATTCGTGAATCGTGAATCACGAATGCTGCTATGAATGTGCAGCCAAAATAGGCGCGGCGCATATATGCAAGCTTTGATGTCAGAAAACAGAAAAATTGTCATTGTCACGTGAGATTGAAGGCGGGGTGGGGCGGGCGTGCAATCAACAATTTTTGAATAAGTTATGCAGCGCGCTCCATGCTGGGCGCCTATACACGTAGATTTGATCTTGAATCACGAATACAACAACTCGTAAATGCGCCGCGTGTGGCTTAACTGGCTTGCGTGAGGAATGTCTTGGGAGGGTGGGGTGGCGCATGGATGTGCGCATATATCGGATGCTGTGCGCGCCTCCACGTGCGCGACCGCGCGCGCCCATCCATCCATGCCATGGTCTTTGACTGCTCCCTCCCCCTCTCATCCTCCCTCTCTGCACACACGCGCGCACGATGCCGACGATTCAAGGATTGTGATCCGTATTTGTGCTCGATTCACTCATTGCGTTGAGCGCAACAGGAAATTGGCTGCGTGCATGGTGAATGGAGTGGTTCTCCTCCTCGAGATGCGATCGGAGGAGATGCTCGATCATTACACCATGCATCTACGTGTGCAATAGCACTCGTGCAAGCGTGACCTCAGTCCCCAGCAAGGGCGACATTCGCTGCACGGCAGCACAAATCAACAAATGCAAATGAGACAATCGACAGATCGCAAGTCACAGTGACGGAAATGTCAATGTCGCAGTCACTGTGACTCAAGATTGTTCCATTCAAGACCAATCAATCAATTAAAGACCGCTTTGGCCTTCTTTGCTCCATCGGTCCGCCGCCCATCCGCAAACTGTCCGGCCTGGCCTGGCAGCTTGTGACTCGTGACTGCATATATGCACCTGATGATGAGTCGCGGGTGTCGACATTCAAAATGACGTCTGCACAACTCTGATCGCGAACGAAATCCTGGCCGCAATCAACATCAAGCACAACCGACGGACGGACGGACGGACGGACGGACGGACGGACGGACCGATGGAGCAAAGCGTGCGCGTCAAGCGATCTTTCCTTGGCAGCGGGCCGGCGACCGCGAATGTGAATGTTTGGTCGACGCGGTCAGCCAGCCAGCGTAGTAATCTTTTGTGACTGCATCTCCAACAATTGCAACGACTCTTCATTGCAAGGCATTGCGCGCCCGCAATCACCGACAAATGAAAATGGTCTGCTCAAATGGGGACACAGCAAATGAGCCCCGCGCGCGGCTATACACGTATATCAATTCGCAATCGAAGCGATGGCTGCTGCTGCGACCCGCGGCCGACCTTCCAAACGGAGCGACATTGCGCGGTACAAGGAAGTGCTCCTGACTGTGAGGTCGCCTCTGCAGCAGCCATGATATGATGTGGGGATGGTATACGCGGGATGGGGGGTTAAGTGGATCATCCTTGAAGCGCGTTATTGCTCAAAGTGTCGAAAGGGCAGGTCATGTCGGGGGTGTTCGCTGCCGCTGCCGCCGCCGCCGCCGCCATCCGAACCCCATCACCCTTCACTGTCTCGTCTCATCCTCCCTTTCACCACCAACCCATCCATCAACCCTTTTCACCTCCCGTCTCCCATCTCCCGCCCACCTTTGCCCACTCCACACCCAACCCCCCATCCCACTCAACCCGCATTCACCCCAACACTGTGCTCAAACATGCGCGCCTCGCCCATCGCCCTCTTTCTCTTCGCTTTCGCATGCGCCTCTTCTTTGGCTCAGACGACATCGCAGCATCAAAGTGGTGCTGGCGCCGACGTTAGCGATTTGACCATCCTCAATCCTACGAGTGGGGCAACATGGACTTCCAGGACTCAGACGCAGGTGTCATGGAGCGGCACGGCGCCTGCCAAGTTCAACATCCAGTGAGTCGAGCATGCGTGCGTGCGGGGCCCCTGCTGCGCGTGCTCACAAAACCCCTTCTTCTTCTTCTTCATCAGGGTTCTGAATGACAACAATAGGATTCTGGCAAATGGCATCTCAGTCGCCAACAACGTCGACGCTTCCAAAGGTTCCGTCACGCTGACCCTCGGCGATTATGCTTGTGAGTCCGCACACAAACTCGCACACGCACACAAACACGCTCTTCTTGCCCGTTCCATCTGCCAAGCTATGCGCGCTCGCTCATCATCCATCGCATCTCCTCACTTTTGTCTTGACAGCGGCCGACAATTATCATGTCCGGTGAGATGAGAGCTGCAAAGTGACTGCTTGAAGAGAAGGGAATGAGGGCACGAGGGGGCATTGCACTGTGCTCATCGCCCACGCTTGCTTCCACCGCGACAGTTTCTACTCCGTCTCCAACATCAGCACCGAGTATGCGCGCTCTGGTCCCTTTAGGATCCAAAGACCTGCACATGGTACGGTGACCAGCAACAGTACGGGATGGAGCCAATCGGGCGGCGGCAACGCGAGCGCGGGTGCGGTTGCGGGTGCCGGTGCGAGCAGCGCCAATTCGAGCACATCCAACAACGGCAGCAGCGGCACCGATTCCACTTCCACCAACGCCAACGCCAACGCCAACTCCAACGGATCTAACGCTGCTACAGCCGCCAACAACGTCAACACCACGTCTCCTCGTCCGGGTGAGTAGAACTGGCTCAGCAGCACGCTTGGCTTTTGAACGCGTGCCTAATGGGAGGGACGTTTTTTTCCCCCAACCACATTTTCCTCCCGCACAGCGACTTCGCAAGGCAGCAGAGACGCCGCTGCTCCTGTGCGTACGAAGGATGTCCAAGTTTTGCTCGGCGTCACGGTGGCCTCGACAGCGGCGATTGTGGCCTGCTTGAGCCTCCTCTGAACAAGCTGCAACAGGCAGACACATCCAGACGATCGATCTCCTCTCACCTCCTCAGCCCGCGTCCGTCGCTTGCCTTCTTGTTTTTTTTTTTTTTTTTCTCCTTTGTTTTTCCGATTTCCCCATCTTGCCACGCTCTTCTATGAAGGCCATACCGCGCCACATTTTTTTTTTTCCTTGTCCCTTGTTTGCGATCAAGAGGCCCGCGGCCAAGGCGGTGGGGTCGGACAAAAGAAAAGGGCCCGTCGCGGCAACCGCTCAGCGCCGCAAACGCCCGCTTCGCACCCCCTGACGCCAATCACAATGGACACGATCATCGTTGTCTGACAATACGTCGTGGCAAGGCGTGCTGTGCAGTGCCTGCTTTCGATCTTTTGTGAAACGAAAGCCGCTCGTTTTCAGTTCGTCTCTTTGTCTTGAAATGGTCGTTCGCCGCGACTCGATCGATGATCTGAATCTGCATGTTGGATGGATGCCGCGATTTGATCGAGTCACCAGAAAGGTGCGTGCGGGGGCGCGGTGTGCTAGCTGCGCCTCCGCTTCTGGCGCCTGCGCCCGCGCCCGCGCGTGCGCGCTTTGCTTGCTTGCCGCTCGAGTTTATGCCAGGCGTTCACTCAGACTCGTGACTCGTGATTTTCATTCGCGCGTGAGCTAGTCTATCTTTTCTTCTTGCTCCGGTGCAACTACTCTCAGAGCTAGCACTCACTCGCACACACCTTTTTGGCAAGCAAGCAAGGGAAGAAGATCTCGAGAGTTTCGTGTCAGAAATTCCTGGGCCCGAATGCTGCGCGCATACCGTCTGCTATGAAAGTGACGGTGATTTGTTGCGAGGAAGAGAGAGGTGGGCTAGGACGCTTGGACAAGCTATTGGATGAAGAGACTCGCAAAAAGGAAGCGGATGCTCGAGTCTTTTGCTTGGTGGGCATAGATGGTGCTGCTCTACAAAGCTGGTACGAGGCGAAGCGAGCCGTGCATGGCCCCTGCACCCTGCTCGTATCGAGTGCATCAGCAGACACGAGCGCAAGGTCGGGCGTCGGCATGCTGCTTCGGCATCACCCAGTCATCGCTCAGCAGCAGCAGCAGCTGGCCGCACCTTGCTCTCTCCATCCTTGCATCGCACCATCCCAAGCGAGCACATCGGGTTCGTTGATCGCTTCAAAAGTCTCCGGCGTGGTCATCGCCACGGCCTGCACTTATCGGCCTGCCGAAACGTCATCGACGAGCCTTTCAAAAATCGTCGCTTTTCTCGATGCGCTCACGCAATGGGCACGTCAAGTCGTTCGGTCTGGGCAGTGCTTGCTGCTGGCCTTGCATCTTCCACACCTGCCGTACTCGCGTCGAGAGCAGGAGCTCTCGGATGGGAAAGAAGAAGCGACGGCCGCTGACGACCTGCAAGCCGCGCTCGCTCGCCTCTCTGCTGTCGGCCTTGCCGATCTCTCGCTCACAAGACAAGACTCACAGTCGAGCACGAACACGAGCACGAGCACGAGCAGCAGCTTTGCCTCTTCATGCCTCCTCTTAGGATCGCTCGTCATGCACTCTCGTCTCACCTGCCTGCTCGATCATCGTAGCAGCGGTGATGAGCAGCATTGCGCTCTCCACGCGTCCTTTCGAGACGCTCGTCGCATCTTTGCCTGCTTCTTTGGCTCGCAACTGCACGGCACCGACACGTGCGACTCGGACATTGACATTATGGGTCTCCTCCTGCCCACTCCTAGAGACATGCTTTTGGGCATCGGAGCGAGCAAAGAGGTGACTCATCGAACAAAGGCAGCTTTGGAAAAGAACGGAGCGGAAGATGTGGATACAAACTTTATCACTCCTTTGGATTTCGTCGAGCAGCTGGCAAGCGGTCAACCGATAGCGTGGGAGATGCTCTTTGCCCCTCCCCACTCTCACGCGCCCGACACGACCGATGAGGGGCTTGCATTCCTCGCAGCTCTGCGAGAACAAGTGCCGCAACTTTTGACATCAAGCACAAAGGCAGTTCGAGGTCTGATGGATAATTTCGAGCGTCGCATCAAGAGAGAATTGCAGAAGCGGGAGATGAGCGCGTCGGACGAGAGGGTGCTGCTGCTGCTGCAGCAGGGTCAGCTGTACAAATCCGCCGATGCAAAAAAGTTGGCTCATTCTCTGCGCGTCTGTCAGCAAGCCATCGAGCTGCACGAGCATGGCCGCATCACTCTGCCGCGCCCAAACGCTGAGCATTTGCGCGCGATCAAGCGCAAAGAGGTGCCGCTGCACCAAGTGCTGGAGCAAATCGACCAGGCGAAGAGTCGCTTGCTGGAAATTTGTGGAGCAGGCGAACGCAGAGAAATCTCGGACAAGACTGGCGCGTACGATGCCATCGAAGCTCTTGTGCGCAAGCATCTCGGCATGACTGCGCGGTCGACGTAGGCGTCTGCAACTTTCGCAAAAGTGCGCGAGGCTGAGCTGGGATTGGGCTGGCAAGTCTGAACGCCAGACAATTGGGGCAAGTCGACAGACCCGACGTTTGCAGCCTATTTTGCATGTCCTGCTGACCAGCGGTGGTGGACGTACAGGGCTCAAGCAGCACCCCAAGGTCCTCGCAAGATGCTTTGGGCCACGCTGCTCCGTGTTTCGCGAGCATTCTCGTCTTGGCTTGACCGATGCAGACGTGTGCGATCGTTCGCTTTGGTCGTCATCTTCGACTTGAGGAAAAATCCAACCGCAAGCGGGCCGAAAAGAGTGTTCAGGACGATGGCCCAGATACCAATGTTGAAAGCGTCGTTGCCTTGCGGCGACGATGCTGGCAAAATGCCGGCCTCTGCAAGGGTCGCACGGCGGTCAGCATCGAAGGAGGGATCAGACGAGAGCTAGAGCCGACAAGATTGCTTCACTCACCTCTTGCGAGGTTGATGATGATGAAACCGACTTCCCCTCGACTGACCAAACACAGACCCAAGAGGAGTGCAGGTCGCCAAGCCGATCGGACAGCACCATCGGAGGGGACGACTGACGCTCGAGCAGTAAAGTCCTGCGACGCAGCCCTCAATTCGACGTCGAGCGCGATGCTATCGCTAGCCTCTCCTAACCGCTCTGCTCCCGGACGAAATGTCGCCTGTGGGGGTGATGTGCGCGTGACGTGATTTGGCGCCTCGACACGTCTACTCAGAGCACCTTCCAAGCGTTGGGCAAGCAAGATCCATAGTCCAGGAAGCACCTTTGCAAATGCCATGACACATGCGTAAACCCAGCCTTTCCAGACGACTGACGGGGTAAAGAGCTGCCTGACTGGGATAGCCATGCCAATAGAGGAAAAGAAGAATGGTACCAGGATGTATGCTGCGGGTGTGCAGCCAGAACGGGTCAGCTTGCCTTTTCTCGCAACGCAAAGTGTGCAATCGCTCACCTGTAATCTCCTCCAGCTTGGCCCAGGCTTTTCCTGGCTCGAGTTGATTCGGCAAGCTCGCAGTGACGGTGGAGTTGATCGTGACGTGTTCTTCGGCGACGGTCCTCCGAATCTCGACGAGACGCGAATGAACTGTTGATGCGAGGGGGGGAGGGGCCCATCGGGGCGTGTCAGGTAGCACGCAGTGAGAGGGGCTCGACGCAGACTCACGCCAAGTTGTGCTTGCTCCTGCACAGAAAGCGCCCAGCAGCATCGTGCTGCCACTGACATGAGCGATGGCTACAAATGAGCAGATGCAAGCGATCAGAAGCAATGAAGAGATGGACGATGCGTGGGTCTTGACAAAGTTCAGGAGGATTCGATGCGTGCGCGTCGCTTGTACCTCGGAACGGCTCCGCTTTGAGCGCCTCGCCAGCAGTAATGCTACGCAGGCTACCAGACGACAGACGATCACAGTCACCAGTATCAGTGCAAAGCTCGCGACGACGGGACGAGCAAGAGGCCAACGGGATGTAGAGGGCGCTGCCTCGGCGCTCTCTGCATGACCCAAGCTCGTCACGACGCTGGCCAACACTAGTCCGATGACGTCGTCCAGCAATGCGGCGCTGACGAGAATGGAGACGATGCGCGAGTTACCCAGCTGGGACGTTTGCTTTGGCTCGCAACGCGGAGCAGATGATTTGTGGGCCGCGTCGCCCTGCGCGGTATTGATCGCCGCAGGCGATGCAGCAGATGGGCCGCCATGGATCGCTGTATCTTCATTGCCAGATGCTAGCGCGCCAATTTCTTGGATCAGAGCGTGATCTTTTGGTGCCGTCTGTTCAAGATGACCACACTGGTCAGGGGTGGATTCCTCGCTCTTGAGACTCTGTGAAAGCGCTTCCAACACTGCAAAGACGGTACCGAGGCTGGTCGCACTGAGCGCGGCGCCCGTCGAGAATGCCTGGAGCGTCGAGTAGCCGTACGCAGGCGAAGTGAGCAGAGCAAAGCTGAGACCGATGGGGAGACCTATGCCTGTCAGTCCTACGAGGATGGAGAGGAGCAAGTTGCGAGGCTGCGAGAGCACATCCAGACGCGTCTCGCTGCCTCCTCGCGCAATGAGGAGGAGCAGGCCAACGTATCCAAGCTGCTGTGCCGTATGCTCAAACGTTTGCGGCAAAAGACGCAGCAGAGGCGTGCCAAAGACTGCGCCAAGTAGCAATTGGCCCAACAAGCCCGCATACAGCGTGGCCGAGAGGGCCCAGTGAAGCACTGCGAGAGGCGAGGAGGAATGGAGGGGTCAGATGTGATCCAAGGGTTGCAGTGCCTCATCAAGACGATCGCTAGTCCTCACGACTCAATCCAACGATGAAAGCGGCGATGATCAAGAGGAGCACCCAATCGGGCTCCGTGTAAGGTAGAGCGTCCATCTGATAGCCAGAGAGAGAGACGTTCTTCGTGCCAGTGCGCCTCCCCGAAGCGCACCGTACCTCCCCTTTCTAGCGCATCCCTTGCACCCGCTTTTTATAGGGACCCTGCCTGGTGCTTCTGCCGGCTTGAGGATGATGATTGGCAAATAAAAACTCTGATGTGACTCGAATGCGATGCCAAGAGGTGAAGAATTGCACGCACGACGCACGCTAGCTGCTGCGAACAACTTCCACTCACGACTCGTGACTTGCAGCTTGTGCCAAGGCCCATGCAAGGCCTGTCTGCTGCATGCTGCGTGTCCCGCGCAGCGCTCATCAGCAGAATGCATGGCTCGACGCGCTTAGATTCGTGGTTTATATTCACATTGCACCTTCACGCGATTCGTGCGTGTGTGGATATTCAAACTCTTGACTCAAAACTCAAGACTCTTGACTGGAACATTCATTCACACAGCATTCGTGATGGATGATCACCTCGCGACCGTTCAGTAAGCCAAGGTTCGCGTCCGCATCGCGAACGACATCCTCAATGGCCACACACGCCTTGCACATCCTAGCAATTTGTCTGCACGCATTCGGAATCGATGCTCGAGTTTCCACACCATTCGGCACCACCCCCGGTCCAATCGGTCATCAGATCAGAACATGATTGATTAGGAAAAAGGCCAAGCGCGAATGCGGATACGGCTCCATGCGTAGCAAGCATGGCTTCTTCTTCTTCTTCGACACTCAGAGGTGGTAGGCGGTCGAAGCGTTGCTGAAATGAGGTCAAGGGGGG